CATCTGCGTATGGTATGGGTAAGACAAGCGCGCTGCGAGCAGTGAGAGCGGTATCAGCTGCCATCGTGAAGTGCTTCCCTGGCAATGTTAGCTTCGGCTCGTATGCAGACAGGAATCGCACAATGAAGGCGTTCACTGACCGTGGATTTACGAACTGCATGGGCTGCATAGACTGCACACACATCTACCTCGATAAGCCGAAGAAGATGGACGGTGACGCCTTCTGTTCGGGTCGCACGAAGAGGTTCTCTGTCGTTGGACAGCTTGTCTTCGACGCGGATCTGCGGATAGTCGACCCTTTTTTCGGGTACCCAGGCACCGTACACGACTCACGCATTCTGCGCAATTCATTGTTGTATCGAAGCGCGTTTAGAGGTCAGCTGTTTCGTGATGACCCGGTGGACCCGCACAGGCACGAGCGACCGTGTATCCCAGGTGTCGCCAGCGCGTACCTGCTCGGGAACAAGGGATACCCGACTCTGCCTTGGATAGTCACGCCATACGGAGGAGAGGACGTGTCGCCAGACAAGGCGTTGTTCGACAACCTTCATAGTGTGGCGCGTAGCAGTGCGGAGCTTGGCATCGGCGTGTACAAACAGAGGTGGCAATATTTCCATAGACCGGGGTTGAGGAACACGCCTTTGTTGTCCCAGGAGTTTCATGCGGTTTGCGTACTTCACAATGTCCTGCGACCGTAGGGCGATTTGCCGGAAGAAGAGCGCAGGTTTACAACGGAGGATATGACACGCTTCCGGAAGAAGAGCGCAGGTTTACAACGGAGGATATGACACGCTTCCGCGATGCGCCGTGTGAGCCCCGAAATCCGTACCCTCCCCTTAATCGGCAACGAGAGGAGGGGCAGTCCGTCCAAGATGCTTTGTGCGCCTATGTGAATGAGTGGGAACGTCGTCGGCGACAGAATGCAGCGGCGAAGAGAGCGAACCGCCGCCGGCAGGGGATGTAGGGTTTTAGGGAGGGCTTTAGGGGAGTTATTTTAGTAGTGGGTTTCTTTCCTTCATGTGGGGCCATAGTTTCTTCCTCTACTCTTCAAATATTTCGATTACGCCCTACAAAAAAAAAAAAAAAAAAAAAAAAAAAAACAATGGTTCGATGTTACCTGAAGAAGTGACTGTGGAGAGGGGGGGTTTATTTGGTCGGATTGGGGGGCGGGGGGGGGTTGGGGGAAGTTTTAAATTAAAAAAAAATAAAAATTCTTTGGGGGAAATTGTTGCTCTGCAGTGTGTTTTTTTTTTTTTTTGGGGGGGGGGGGGAGGGAATGTCATTCCCGGAAGTGGCTGCTATATGTGGGTGCTCGCAGTCACGTGTATCCGATTTTTGTAGGGCGGTGGAGTGGTGTGGGTGTCCTTGTTGTTGTCTATTTGTGTATAAAACCGGGGGTTGGGTTTGTTTCTTGGATAGGGTTATCTACGCACTTGGTGGAGTCAGTGTTGGTAGTGCTTTCTGCGGAGAGAGCTGCGCGATCTCGTGTTATCACCTTTGCGTCCCTAGTATTTGGCAGCTATTGCTGCGTCATCATGTCAGTTGTTTTCATGACACGTGGCCATGTTCGGGGTCGTGTGGTTATGGCCTTTGAACTGCGTGATCTGCGTGACTCTCGTTTGGGGCGAGAGTTTGAATTCATCCGTTCGGTAACGAGCCATCAAATCCGTCATTACGAGATTGATGCGCGTGGGGAGCTAGCTCTCCGCTTGGTTGTGGGGTTGGGGTATGAGGAGGATTTTCTTCGTGATGTCATCGTATACGTGACTAAGGTGCATGATGACGTGCCGAACACTCATGTTGGCGTCGGCGAGGACATCGTTGAGTCGATGGTGCGTTTGGTGACGAGTGCGGTGCTTTATGTGCATGGCGATCGTTTATCGTCGATCGTTGAGTGGGAGGCGATCCTTGATGCTCCTCTGGAGGGTCGTGCCTATATGCGGGGTGAACTTCAGTGACTGTATGACACTTCGTGCATATGTTTGCGTGGTTAGGCGTTGATCTGTTGATGGGAAGCGGGTTATTTTTTGTGCTCATCCTGTTATTCTGTCGTGGTTGCGGTTGGTGCAACAGATCTGTTGATGGGAAGCGGGTTATTTCTGGTGCTTGTTCCGTCAAGCTATCTTAGTTGCGGCTGGTGCAACAGTTGATGTACGTCAAGTGGTCATCGTGAAACGTTCTTCCTAGGTGAAGCTCTCGACCAGAATTGGTTATATAGTTCAGTTTTAGGGGTTATGTGTTTACTACGAAGAGTCGTGGTATCGCTCCGATCACTTACGATTGATGGATTGTGGTGTTCTTTCTGTCTTAGGCTGTAATGGTCAGGTTGGTGGTAATCTTCCTAATACTTTGTGAATGTGACTAAGGTGCAGTCGTGATACCGCTTCGTATTTTTTTTGGATAATAGGAGGGAATTGCGGTTGCTGGTTTTAATGTGTCCTTATTTGTTGTGTGCTTTTTTCCATGTGTGGCGCGGGCACATAGCTTCTTGTGAGACCTACGTAAAACGAATTATATAAAAAAAATTAACAATTACAAAAATTAGAACGACTCAGTTGTTGATTCCGCATTGTCCTAAGTACGTCAGTGTTCCTTAATTGTGTGTCATGCTACGAAGGTTTAGACAGTTGTGACCATTTCCTTCCTTTTTCAGTAATCGTATTAATGGGGGAGGTCTAGGTTCTTGTTTTTTTGCTTATTTGTCCCCAATTGACTCCTATCTCCGTGTTATCCCGTAGATGCTGACTTATCATTCATTTGGGTTCTTTGTGGGAGTGATGATACTATTTTTCTATGTGTCTCGTCATGCTGTGGGAAGATCACTCCTTCTCTGCAAAGTAGAAGGATACGGTTTTCCCGCTTCTCTGTCTTTCGTCTCTCTGTTTCCCTTACTTTCTCAACCATTTTTGGTTTGCTTATTGTCTAGCGTGTGGATTAACTATGTGGTTCCATTGATGGTATCTGGACTGCGGCCCTCACTTCCTACTGTATCTATAATGACCAAGGTGTGTGCAGCAGTGATAATGATATCATCTGCTTATGATCGCAATGCATCTTTATTCCGTAAGAAATCTGGAATCCATAAGGTTAGTTGTCGGCTCCTGAGTGGTTCCAATTGGTTCCGTCTTGATGGCGTCACGCCTTCTTTGTTTCGTTCCGACGATGTACTTACGTTTTTTTAATGTCTCATTCGTACTTTTTACCGGGTGCTGTGGAGCACGCTTTTGTGCTTTCGATTTGTATCGTGCATCCGTGGTTGTAGGGGTAGTATGATATCAGGGTAGTGGTATGGTGATCGTGAGGTTAGGAGTGATCATACATGATTGATTGGGATGTGGTTGGTAGAGGCCTGAGTATGGGGTGGTGGGGTGGCTGGGAGATCGTTGGCGATTATGGGTTGGGATATGATAGCGAGGGAGCAGGAGGGTTGTATGTAACCGTAGTGGATTGTGGTTGAGTGAGCGGGTTCCGAGAGAGAGAGAGAGAGAGAGAGAGAGAGAGAGAGAGAGAGAGAGAGAGAGAGAGAGAGAGAGAGAGAGAGAGAGAGAGAGAGAGGGAGAGAGCAAAAAAAAAAAAAAAAAANGAGAGAGAGAGAGAGAGAGAGAGAGAGAGAGAGAGAGAGAGAGAGAGAGAGAGAGAGAGAGTGGGAGGAACCCGATGTCTGTGGGACAGTGTCCCGATTGTTTAATGTACATGGCATAACGAACATGACGCAGGAAATGTTCAGAGAAAGATCATCTGGATGCTGTCGTCATTGAGAGTCCGCTTGTGGACTGTCGATTTCAATTTTCTGTTGTTGTTCTTGTTTCTTTTTTTGTTCTTATGTTTGTTTTCTTTTTCCAAACATGAAAACCCGATCCGTTATGGGAAAAACGCAAACCCTACAGCGTACAGGTAAAAAATAAATAAATAAATACATTCAAACCCCATGATATTCTACACTGCTATTGCACTCCCAATACCTCGTACATGTGAAACCGTATTCCCCGATTGGAAACACCACATCCCTCAAAAAAGAAAAAAAAGAAAAAAAACAGGAAGTGGCAAAACCACAGTTTGGTACAGTAAACCAAAGGACGTGAAGTCCTTGGGTGCACATTGAACTGCGTCAACCCGTAAACCCTAAAGCCCTGCACATCTGAAAAGTCCGTTCTTTCGTACACTGCAATAAAGCCTACGTTCTCTGCGTCCATCCATTGTTAAACACGGCACACACACACACACCCAACACGCGCGCGCGCGCGCACACACACACACACACACACACACACACACACGCGCACACACGCACACACACACAGCCCCACACACAGCCCCACGTGTGGTCATGTTGCAGCAGTGGGTGAAGGCGGATAAACCTATCGCCTATACGGTCGACGTCTTTTTCGGGACATTCCCAAGCTCTTGAGGACGTCGGCAATCACGTTGTAGCCCGCTTTAACCTCTGAAGTGCACATTGCGGCTGCTTCTAACCTCGCTTTCGCATCATCCCGCATTGCAGCACATGTCAATTCAGCGACCTTCTCCTGCGTTCTTCCCTGCTTGTCGCACACAGCATGCATGGCAATGCAAGGGAGCAGAGTTTGCGGGCCGTTACGGGCGCAATGAGGGAACAGACATCGTCCATTCGGGCGGTTGGCAGGTTACCACGTTTCGTTTCTTCTTCCCGCCCACATCCGGCTGCACAGCAGTGGAGTCTGTCCCGCAATCAGAAACACCTGCCCTCTTGTTGCTCCTGTCTGGATCCCGCTGGCCAGCACTTTGTGAACCGCCTCCACCATGTCCGTCGCCCTCGCCTGCTGCAACTCCACCTTCCCCATCCTGAGAGGCGGTCTGCTCATCTAACGCTCCAGGGTCGACCAAGCCGGGGGGATTGACAGCGACATTTCCCTTCCCGCGCACATTCAGGAGATCGAACCATGCCCTCTAGAACTTGAAGTCCATGTTTTTTCCCAGCCTCTCGCGAGGTGTCATGTCCCAGTAGCTCTGACTGCCGCTGGGTTTGTCGTTGTCATTTATCAAGTTGTACATCCTGTTCAGGTTATGCCACCTGTTTTTGCATTCCTGGTGGCTTCGCTTGTACTTCGACTGGTGCATCCGCGCACTTATGACGTGCCACATCCGCCGGCTGGCCCGAGCTATCCCCAACGCCTCCAAATCATCCCCTTTTGCGTCCATGAACTCATTCTTCAGCCTCAGGAGAAGTAGCGTTTCATCGTCGCTCCAGCGGTTGGTCGTCGTTTTATCGCCGACTGGAGCATCTGCATCAACGCCTTGCCTTCCATGAGCATGCTCGTCCGCCCCTCCACTCCCGCCGCGAGGCCAATCAACGTCTTGGCTGACATGTTCTGCGGCAACTTACGTTTGGCTTGCAGAAAGTGGCGTCTGCTAGGTATCGTCCGCGTCTTCGTTGACACTGCCTGTATCGACAACCCCTTCGCTCCCACCAGTCGTCCCTTCGAGGATCCCACGAACGTCCCCGCCTGTGTTTAGCACGGCAAGACGCGCACCGCACCCGTCGTGCTCCGGTGGCAGACGATCCTCCGGCAAGTGCCCACCGCCTGCCGTGGGATTTCCGACATGCCCGCACTGACGTTCACCCGGGACGGCAAAGTGCAGAGCAGGCTGGCGAATCTGGCAATCACCATGCTCACCATGCTCACCGTCGGCCTCAACCCCGACGGTAGCAACTGCGTCCGATTCGATGTCCTCCAGTCCATCGCTCGCCTCCCCGGCCGCACAAGGCAGCTGTCCCCCGTCTTCAGAATGAACCGCTGCGAAGAAAGATGCTGGAATGTGTTCTGACATTCGACGACAGGTCCCTCAAGCGGGGAGGTCCGTCTCGCAGCCTATGAAAGCCGTGGAGGACGTGCGGGGATAGTGGGGGAAGGGAAAAATGCACGGCCACCGGCACTAAGCTGACGATGGGGCAACGATGTCGCCCCTGCAAGCGATACTGGTTGCACGGGATTTGTCGCCCGTACGGCCACCGGGCCAGGATATGTGTGTCGTGGTAGCCCTGTCACGTGCTGCGGCTGCAAAATAGGAGAAATGGAAGGCAAGAAAGCATCCAATCGTGACGACGAAGGGTCCGTAGACGAAGATGGCGACTGCAGCCGATACGCTGACGTGCACATATTGTCGGGTATGGGTATCGCGGACGGCGGCCGCATCACGCCGCTTACGGCACTTCCCGGAAGCGGATCATCCGTAGCCGGTTGTCGTGGAAATGGAGGGATTGAAGGCGCAGAAGGCGCCGCCGACTGTCGTGGAGAAGGACGAAGACCTGGTCGGAGCAATGGCGCTGTTCCCGGTGTTCGTGCATGTGCCGCTTGAGCAAAGGACGGTACGGCTGACCCCGATACTCGTGCACCCATGACCGGCCGGACAGGCGGCGCGACTGACATACCGGGCGTGGAAGCATTAACGGCGTGCAAATGATGAACAGTCGTACCCGGGTGACGAATATGACTGACATTGGCTTATGGAAAACGTGCGAGTGGTGAAAACGGACGAAGCACGGTCGGGGTTCCAGACTCCTTCAACGTAGATTCATGCCGTCCAGGGATGCCACCCGGCGTGCGGAGACTGCTTTGTGCTTGAGAGAATGTAGACCATTGGTGTGGTGTGTTAGCAGGCCGCCCACGCAGGACGTCATTCAAAGCCGCCAAACCACTAGGTGTGGAAAAAACGACTCGGAAAGTTATCCGTCCCCTGCCCGACTGCGACCTCGGGATATGCGTCTCACTCACATGCAGCGAATCGGAACTGCCCGACCCGTCAAGGCTGAGGGGGGATGGTAGCGGCTCCATCCCCGGTCGAAAATGGAAGACGGGTTGAACACGAGACCCTTCAAAAAACGGTACACGCGAACTGAGGAGAGGAAGAGATGGCAATTAAATAGTACTAACGTGTGTGAACCGCAAATATTCGCACGTACAGAGACGATGGTGGTCGGCGGCAGACGATGTGCATGACTGGACAGTAGGAAGGGCAGAAGACGGCAGCAGCGGAGCGAAAGGACTGTAACAGAAGAACAAACATTGAGTATGAGGACGAGAGTAAAGGGAGGGCTTTTATGGCCGACACGGCCAGCACATCACACTCACGTCAGGAGCATACGCTGGTATGCACAACCTCCAGTGGGAACTAAGCACCACGTGCAGTCGTCTTCCCATAGCAAAGAGGACTGGATTACGCTCCCGAATTCAGGATATTTTTCGATTACTATTTGCTGGTGGGACGTCGCCCCCGGACACAGACGAGGGTGCCCATGCCAGTCGCCATACTTCACGGACTGCATGTCGCCAGCGAATGTATAATATATAAAATGAAGAAAAAAAAAAAAACAGGCGATTTTTGCTGGTGGGACGTCGCCCCCGGACACAGACGAGGGTGCCCATGCCAGTCGCCATACTTCACGGACTGCAATTCGCCAGCGCATGTATAATATATAAAATGAAGAAAAAAAAAAAAAAACAGGCGACCGAGTACAGGGCATGCAACATCTTTAAAAATGTGTTATTTATGTAAAAGAAAAAAACACTAGAAACAATCTAGCACATTCGTTTATTGAAACATGTGGCTTGTAGTAATGGTCAAAGATATCACACCCGACCTCGTGCAGTCTGTCGACATGCACGGAGGACATAACCCATGGAGGTGTATCTTTCCATGTTCAACCGGAAGACAAAGTCTCATTGTCCACATTTCGATAACAGAGGAGCGAGGACAGATGTGTCGTGTTGTTTTTTTCTTATTTGTATATTTTTTCGTCTAGTTATTCAACTGTGCTTTATGTGTTTTTTTTTTTTTTTTTTAACAATTTTGTAGAAGTTAGTTTGAATGTTTGCACCTGTGTTTTGTTGTCGTCAGGAGCACAGACCGGCGAACAATGCGCTGACTCTGCCAGCGCGGTGCGGTCGACAATACGCAGAACATGTCATTCCATGCAGACGAGGGTGTCTCCGACGGACCATCAACCGCCACCCCCCCCCCCCCCCCCCCCCCCCCCCCCCCCCCCAACCGCCCACGGCAGGGAGGATAATGCACAGTACACAGCCTGCATGCAGACACGGAGGGCGTGGACTTCATCCAATCGGACGGTTGGGCGTTGTGCCCAGCCCCACGCGGAGTCATCGAGCGTGGTCCGTGGGCGATTCCACGCACGTCCATTCCAGAAGCACCCTTTGTATTTTGGTGATTTTTTTCTTTTTTATGTTTTATGTGTCTGGATCCAACACGCGCTCCAATCGCCGCAGATGGCTCACTCTCCAGATGTTGCACAGGCGCCGAGGAACTGCCTCTCAATGTCGAAGAGTCCCTCTTCCCGGAAATTCATAAATCTTCGCAAGCACGCAACATCCGCATGCGTCGTCAACACAGGCTGGTCCGACTCTGGTGGTGCTGTCGGCCTGGATCGCCACATCCAGGTCTTTCAGGACGCCCGCCTCATTTGTGCTGTGGCGTTCCTCCTTGAGTCACGAGTGAGTCTGACTATTGGTAATTGTTGAATACCTTCCCAGAACTATACACATATATTGTTTTAAATGCACAGACTGATTCTGGACTCAATGCAGATCGATTATGTGACGATTTAGACCAGCTTAGCAGCAGCGACACCAGGGTTGGGAAGGTACCAAACACCAAGACAAGTCAGCATGCAATACAGGTTTAAAAGGGGGAATGCACTTCACTCCAATGAACGTTCCGTTGGCCGCTCCAACGCTCCAACGCAGCAGCAACAGGTACGTATTGAAGTCACTTTTTCTTCAGCCTTCTTATTTCCCCTTCGTCAATCTTCTCCCCACTCAACTTCCTTTCTCATTTCCCCTCTCGCCAGCCTTAATCACTGCCAGTGATAACCAGTGGGTGCAGCGAGTAATTCCTCCTACACCAGTTTGCAATGAACCTTCTAGTTCAACACCAGTGAGAGCACATATAGCCACCACATGCATGTATGGGTTCACTCGAAATTCACAATAGAGACCAGAGAGATAAAGACCAGGTAGCGCAGCTTATCATTTGTAGAAAGTATTACAAGAGCAATAAGAGTTAAAGTCACCAGCGCTTATCAGCGCATGCCAGAGGTAACCAATAATCAGCATAAGCTCTCAGGTAAGTATCTCTTCCCCTCTGCTCTTCTCTCTTATGCTGGTCTTCTCCCTAGCTATGTCCTCGTTGTGTCTTCTCTCCCTTCATGCATGCATACTCACTAACTTCTATTCAAGGATCTACTCTGAATACACCCACTGTTAACTCTACCAACCCCTCTACAGTCTACTACTAACAGTACTAACAACTAGCACTAACACTCTGCACTGGCGCAGCTATGGCTGCCTTCTCCCTGCCAGCGCTATCTTCCTCTCTCTCCCTCACTTAATGCAGCACTCTGGCTTCAGCGCTCTACTCCTCACTTCAGCGCACCAGTGCACCAGCACTTCCATTGTTCCACACTCCTTGCGAATGAGCAATCTTCCCGAATGGTAGGCTGGTCAGTCCTTTTGTAGTCTTGGAATGCTCTTCAACTCGTGCCAGCCTCTGCTTTCTGGGACCTGGCTGGTTCTGGTACCACATCCCCATAGCCTGTCTGGTTCTGAATGTCATGGCCTGGAACCTTCCCGAATTTCCTTTGGTCTGCTGCTGCCTGGGCCTTTGAGTCGTGACTTTTCACTTGTGAACATGACTTTTGACTGTGGACTGTGATTCCTGCGTCTGGAACACGACTTTTGTCTGTGGAACTGCCCTTTTACTCGTGGGATGTGACTCTTCAATAGACTTTTCATTATGAGGAGTGACGCCTGCCTTTGAGACACGACTCTTGCTTCTAAATAGGCCTTTTCTCTCATGGGATGTGACTCCTCAAAATAGCTTTTTATTATGAGACATGACTGTTGTCCCTGAGATGTCACTGTTTGCTGGGTGCCTGTTGGACCAGACTGCTAAGGTACCCGATTGTGACTTTTCGGAGTTTGACGAACTCAGGCTTTTCTTGACCAGGGCATCTGACCCTGGGATCCAAATTTGGGGTCTAAATCGTGGAAGGCCTTTCATATATATATATATATATATATATATATATATATATATATATTTATACATATATATATATATATATACCTAGGCTGACGATATATATATATATATATCGTCAAATATATATATATATATATATACCTAGGCTACGAGCCAGGCCGCCCGGGTCACCCTATTTCCCCGGACGGCCCAACCGTGCAAGGACAAGGGAAGGTCCTAGCAAAAAAAACAAAAAAACAAAAAAAATCAAAACAACCTGAAAAAAAACTATGTTAAGCATGCAATATGTATATATATAGTCAAACATATATATATATATAGGGTTACGAGCCTGTACATACGTTCGGGCTTTCGGGGTCCTGTTCGGGGTCCAAACCTGAAGGGGTTTTGACCCCGCCAAAAATAATTTCGGTGCCTAAATAGATATATATATATATATATATATATATATATATATATATATATATATATATATTTTCTGAATGACTTTTTGTGAGTTCTTCATGATATGAGGTACATGCCTATAAAGTTTGAAGTCATTTTGCTAAGACAAAACAAAAAAAAACTTCAAAGATGGAGGTGTCTCAGGTGTGAAAACCTGCTCGCCCACTCACTATTTTGTTTTTTTTTCACTTTTTACTTGTTGTTCACACTTTATTTTGGTTTGGTACTACCAGCTGGAATGTCTTCAGCTTGGGTGAAAGGCGCCTTCGCACCGTGGCCACAACTCCCTTGGCCTGTTTTTACCGGTTCATGAATGTGCCACAATTTTTGTGCCAGATTCATGAACCAGTAGGGCCCTCTTTTTCAAAATACCCTACGTGGTCCGCATTCTAACCTTCAGCGATACCACCCTCGGCCTCATCCACATCAGAATGAATCTGGTGTTGTTTATGCACCAGATTCATGATCCTGTACGGCCTCAAAGCCATGCGTGGGCCTGTAGTACCCCACATGGAAGACATTGGGCCGGCCGAACTTGGGGCGGAACTTGGCGCGGCCAAAACCGAAAAGGTTTTGGCATGAGCGCTTTCTACCAATTATCCCAAAAGATTGGGGTTTCATCGAGGGGTCACGCTCAGTTGGTATACCCATGAACCGTTGAAATGCAGACCTTAGTTCGAACGAAGGTGACTGACACAGGGCATCCCCACACCACTCTCGAAATGTGCAAAATGAGAATGAACTTCTCGCTAGAACATGGCCAGATGCACCCGCCACATTTTGTCTTTTTCAAATTTCTGCAGTGGTGTGGCGAGGCCCATTCAACAATTCGACGATGATATCTCAAGGCTGTCAAGATTATCAAGATTGGGGTTTCCCAGGCCAGAGGAGCAACTCGCTCAACCCTTGGACCTCTCCTCATGGCACGAAAATTTGTTGGGAAAGGTCATAAAACCTCCCCGCGCTAAAACCTTTGTATGCGTTTCCCCCCAAACGAGGAAAAGGGTGGGGTACGGCCGGCCCCGAAATAACTTTCGGGGGCCTAGTCCCACTAGCATCCGTGTAGTCGTTGGGGGACGAATGTGTGTGGCGTGGGCGAGCACAGGGTATCGTGTATTGTATATTAATCGACGGGGTACTTCCGCGCCCGCAGAAACGACTGGGACTGGCATTTAGGGTTTAGATCATGACGGTCTGTGATTGGACGTCGCAGTCGGCGCCGCAGCACAATCGCGTTGCTACGAACGCGATGGAACGTCGCGTATGTAGTAACGCGATAGATGAATCCAATGGGAAGGTCGACGATGCAAAAACGGTTCCCGTGCTCCGTTTGTCATCATTCTCTCGTAGAGAATCTGTCAGCAGAGACCGAACGTATCTCCTGTCAGTGCATTTTTCGTACGGGACGCACGCAGGCGCAACTGCTGTCCACGTTCGTGACGGGGAAAGTGCACGGTAGGTTTTGTATAGTGAGGGTTTTTTTTCTTATTCGGGCCCCCTCCACATAGGTGTTGAGTGCTTCCTGCAAGGGTCGCTTTTCTATTTTCTCTCTCCGTTTGACGGTAGGACTGCTGACTTTACCCCAGTTGGAATTTCGAATGGCCGGCCCAGGTTATTCATGACTTGGAGTGATTGAGTCATCTGCTTCCGATGGAGTTCGAACTGTGGTCTGTAATTCAACAGTTCAGCGGTTTAGGGCCTCAGCTTGGGCAGTTGGTGAGGGTCAGTCCTTGGGTTGGGTCTGTCCGGAAATATGAATCGTCGATTTCGTGTCGCCGGAGGGCCCTGCGATTTGTTGCCTTCGGTTTCCGCAACGTGCGGCCGCATATGGAAGATCCAGGACCAAGGGTGCACACACACACACACACACACACACACACACACACACGTCCTCCCCTTTACGTGGAGTATCATACACGCTATCGTTTTGATCATGTCATTCCCACTTACATAGACAACAACGATAAACTGCACAAAAATGAAATATAACATGCAACAACGACGGCAACAACAACAACGACTACTATTTCGCTTTCACAACTAACATGCCTGTATTCTCATGCGTTCGTCGCATCTCACGCACCACCGTGTTCACTTTCAAGTACGTTTTGGATTTAACATCCATTAGTTTATACATCCATACCGCCCCACTTTCACATGCAGAAGGATGGACGAAAATATACATACGTTCAGAAATCATGAAATATAACAGCCCGCTCATCCGTCCCCAGAGAGGGAGAACCGACAACAAAGCAGGGGTAGTCACTGTTTCGTTGGAGTTTCGCTGACTTATGATAGGGCTGAATCCTCGACAGTCTGCAGAATCATCTAACTGATTACACTGTAAGTCGCAATCCACCTTCATCCCCTAAGTGATACCCTGAGCTCGGCATCAACCACTGCACACTACTTACCTGTGACGGAAATCAAAGCAGATTATCACTCAGCCACACCCGTTCGCGGTTTTAGTTAGAACCACCTCTAGATATGTGGCCATGATAGAGCTTCCCTTTATCTGCTCTCTCTCTCTCTCTCTCTCTCTCTCTCTCTCTCTCTCTCTCTCTCTCTCTCTCTCTCTCTCTCTAACAACAAAGCAGGGGTAGTCACTGTGTCCTCGAAGTTTCGCCGACTTATGAAAGGCCTGAATCCTCGAAAGTCTGCACAAATCCTCTAACTGATTGCACTGTAAGTCGTTATCCCCCTTAATCCGCTAATTGATACCCTGAGCTCGGCATCAACCACTGCACGCTACTTACCTGTGACGGATTGCTTTTCAGACTATCACTCACCCACACCCGTTCGCGGTTTCAGTTAGAACCACCTCCACATATGTGGCCATGAGAGAGGTTCCCTTCCTCTGCTCTCTCTCTCTCTCTCTCTCTCTCTCTCTCTCTCTCTCTCTCTCTCTCTCTCTCTCTCTCTCTCTCTC